TTTTGGTACAAACTTATAATCATAATAAGTAAACACAAATTTCAAGTATTATTTTTTTCATATTTAATATTATTCTCTGTTTTGTATAGTTTTGGTTATCATATATACTTAATACACATTTTACATTACTCATGACCTCAAAACATTTTAAAGTTGGTTTTTTAAATGCTGGCTCGCTGGGTACTCATCACGACGAGTTTGTGGTTGCCATGGATAGACATGGCGTTGATGTTATGGCAATAAATGAGACTTGGCTCAGGGATGGGGAAGAGGGGCGTGCACCGACCGTGCCTGGCTACCGTCTGCGTCACCTGCCGCGCCCGCTGAGCGTGCGCGGCGGCCGTGGCGGCGGCGTTGGGTTTTATATAAAGCGAGGAATTAATGTGCGTGCGCACCCTCACCCGGTGGACCCGTCACATGGTTCGGTTGAGCAAATGTGGTTGGTGTTGAACATCAATGGTACGAGGCTTGCCGTGGGTACGGCATACAGACCACCTTGGTTTGATGTCGATTTGTTCTTTGATGGGCTCACTGCTTCGATGGATTCGCTCTCATTTTGTGACAAGACTGTTCTACTTGGAGACTTTAATATTAATTGTTTGAGCCACTCTGAGACAAAGGTTTGCAAATTGAACGCATTTTTAAATTGCTTTAATTTGAAACAAATAATAACATCGCCAACGCACTTTACAAGCACTAGTGAGACCCTCATTGACCTTGTCTGCACAGACGCTCGCGTTATTAGCCATGTGGTGGACCCAATTGGGGCGTTGGGGGCGCATGCCTATCTGGTAGTGATGTTTAATTTTAAAAGGAACAAGCCACTGCCTCTAACTGTAACCAAGAGGAGCCTAACAAAAATATGTCCTAAGAAGTTTGACGACGACCTACAATCTACTGACTGGCATATGACTGTTCAGTCAAATAATATAAACGTCATGGTGGACAGGTTAAGTCAGGGTATACTTAACCTTTTCGACAAACATGCTCCTCTCAAAACTCATGTTATTAGGGAAAAAACGTACCCATGGATCACTGATAACATTAAACTGATGATGAATTTGAGAAATACAGCCTATACAAATTATATGAAAACTAAGTCAGAATCTAAAAAAATATATTACAAAGACCTAAAAACTTTAGTAAGAAAATCACTATTTTATGAGAAGGTAGCTTACTTCAAGACGAATATAAACAACAAAATTAAATTTCCTAAAATCCTTTGGAATAATATAAAAACAACCTTGTTGCCTATAAATCGGAATACCGAACTACCGTCGCATATTAATGATCCGAATAAGATTAATACCCACTTTTTAAATGTACCCGGAACCATGAACTTGACTATTAGCAGTTTGAGTTTTTATGAGTTTCACCGATTCACCGATAGTACCTTTAGACTACGGACAGTTGATGACAGTGATGTTATTAAAATTATTAAAGGTTTCACATCGAATGCCGAGGGGCATGATTGTATTGCTCTCAATATGTTTATTATGACGCTACCCTACACCTTGACATACTTAACAAATATTATAAATACTTCAATCACCACCTCAACCTTTCCTGACGATTGGAAACTGGCAGCTGTACGCCCGATACCAAAAAAAAGTTCCCCTACCGATTTGACCGATCTTAGACCCATTAGCCTTCTGCCCCTGTTATCTAAGGTGCTGGAGAGGGTGGTTAACACACAGCTGACAAAATATCTGGAGGCAAATGCCATTCTTCCTGAATTACAATCAGGTTTTAGGAAGGGTCGTGGCACGATGTCAGCTTTGCTTGATGTCACTGACAACATACTGGCTGCACGGGACAGTGGTTTCTGTACCATCTTGGTATTATTAGACTACTCAAGGGCTTTCGATGCCATAAATCTAACGCTCTTGTTATCGAAGCTGGCTTTTTATGGCTTTGATACTCCAACTGTGAGATGGTTTAACAGCTACCTCAGCAACCGTGCCCAATACGTCGAATTACGAGACCAAAAGGGTAATATTAATAAGTCACAAACGACTCCCCTAATGAAAGGCGTGCCACAGGGCTCAATTCTAGGCCCCACATTATTTATCACATATACCGCGGACATAATAAATGAAATTAAGCATTGTCAATACCATATTTACGCTGATGACCTACAAATATATTTGTCTTTCAAACCTCAAGACTATGAGTCTGCAATCAAAAAAATAAACAAAGATCTGGAGGGTATATTCGAATGGTCGGAAAATAATGCTTTAATACTAAATCCAGTTAAAACCAAATTTATGATCTTTGGCACGCCAGGCTTATTACACAAGATTCCACTGAGCACTTCCGTAAGCATTAATGTAAAAGGTCAAAATGTAGAACGAGTAAGTGAGGCAAGAAACTTGGGCCTTGTATTGGATGAAGGTTTAAGGTTTGAACGTTTTATTTCGGACTGTGTAAGAAGTTGCTTCTATCGTTTAAAGATTTTATATAAAATACGACCCTACTTATGCGAGGAACTGCGTGTGCGGTTGGTGGAGAGTTTGGTTCTGTCAAAATTAAACTATGCTGATACCGTTATAGGCCCCAGGCTCTTAGCACGCACCGGGAGATTAATACAGAGAGTACAGAATGCTTGTGCGCGATTTTGCTACAATGTTCCACCAAGAAGTCATATTACACCATTTTTAAACAAACATAATGTTTTAAAAATGAAGTCGCGCCGTAAACTTCATCTCGCCTGTCTTATGTTCGACGTGATAAAACTCAGGTGTCCTCCATACCTGTACTCTAGGTTTGCATGGGTTAACAGTCACCGGGAGCGTGAGGGTAGGCGTTGTGCTCAGCAGCTCGCCATTCCTCAGCATAGAACTGCAGCTTTTCGCGGCAGCTTCCGTTATGCGGCTTCCAAATGTTGGAATAATATTCCACCACCAATTAGAGATCTGAACAATAAAAACACGTTTAGGTTAAAATTAAAAACTTTTATTTTGACATCCCAAATTAAATTTAACGACATAAATATTGACAAATCCTTTATCTAATTTCAATTCATTATTTCAATACAATAAAAGTATACTTACTATTATATGCTAACTTGGACGTCTATGCGTTTTATGTGGGAGCTCGCCGTGTTGTACTGCTGGTGCTTCGCCATTGGTTTGACTCGTCGAGTACCGTCATTATAGACACAATTATAGAGCAATGGGTTGCGGTCGCCGGTGACCGCTTGGTGTTTGACAGTTTAATGTTGTTTTTAAGTTTTTAACTGTGGCCACAAGTAAACTTTGCTGCCGGAGTTTTGTGTCCGGTGGTCAGTGGAAGGCAACTGTATCTTTGTGGGTACGCGTCGAAATGAACCAGAGCTCAGCAGGGTTGTCACTGGAATAGTGCTTGTTTGGCAGCCAGAAAGTATGTAATACCCTCAGTTAATTGAAAAAAGAGTAAATATAGAAAGTGCATCTTTACATTTTTGTTCGTATTTACATAAGTCTTGAAGTCTTATATCTTGGTCTCTTATAAATGCATTCTTACATTTTTGTTTGTATTTACTTTTACTATTTGATCTATACATTTTTCTAATCACAACTTTTCACACACATACGCACGCATACACATATGCACACATAGTCTGCAGAATTTATATTATCTATTTAATCTCATATTTAAATCTATTTTCTTTTCCTTATTGAGGGGCGGTACCGCCGTCCGTGAGTCACTGCAGGGTGCCACCTGAAAATCAGCGTTGGGCAGGAATGCTCAACTATATGCTGAGGTGGAGGCCCTTTTGACATGTGCACACGCAGTATCATATTATTTATATTATGGTGTTTTTTTTTTGTGTATTTAATTTGTTTGTATGTACATTATTTTCTTATATTTTGATGATTTTTACTATTTTCTTTATGCTTTTATGTTTCCTTTTGATATTATGTATTTGTGTAAGTATGTACTTGTATTTTTTTTTTGTATTTTTCTTTTTTTTTTCATAATCTTTGTTTGTGTGCCATGTGCCAAATAAATGCTTTTTCTTTCTTTCTTTCTTTCTTTCATTAGACATCCATTTCATGGCCCCACTGTACCATTTCTCCGTGACTGAACATTACAAACGAAAATACACCTTAACGTTTAACACATAACGTTTAAATTACAATGTAAGGCAACATTTCCTGAAAGTAGGTAAAAAGGTATATTTTATAGGTAACATGAGAACATTGTTATTCTATGTGTGTAGTAAATAGGAAATATATAGAAACTATTGTTTTCGTTGTTTAACTATAAGTTCAATATGTTTTGGAACGTTCCTATAGTTTCTACCGATAAAACTATTTATTTATTTATATTGAAGTACTTCTATCTTTATATATTATATATAATTCTTCTGTGAGTGTGTATGTTACTGAACTTTCATTACAACACAGCATAACACAAAAATTTCATCAAAATCGGTCCAGTTGTTTGTCTCTCATACGACTGGATCGATTTTAATAATTTTTTTGTATGTGTTCAAGGGGATCTGGGAATGGTTTAGATTCACAAATCAGCCCGGCAGATGGCGCTGCAGTCGGTGTCTAGGTTATTTATCCTAAACGGCTGAAATAATTTGAATGAATTTTTGTTTATACATTCAAGTGGATGTGCAGGACAACGTCTGTTGGGTCCGCTAGTATTTATATAAAAATGAAACCCGTTTCCCGTTGGTTTTATGGTGAACAATAATCACAACATAATATCACGCTTTTTACCCCCAAAGGGCTAGACAGAGCTGCATATTATGGCACTTAATGCCACTGTACAATGTAATACCCACTTTTCACTATTTATGCTATGAGTCCCATGTAATAAGGGGTGAGCCCATTGCCATATACCGGGCACATTACTACACTGAAACATCCAGTAATACTTTACCCGACTCGGGAATCGAACCCGAGACCCCCTGTGTAGGTAGTCGCACTTGCGACCTCATGGCCAACGAGGCAGTCAGATCAGATCATCAGCTAATTATACCCAAATTAAAACAAAAAACTAACCTGTTTATACTGGACACAGAAGGCACATTATCCTGGCTGCAGATCCCCTCACTGAGGAGTCTGTCCCTGATCTCCCAGGCGAACATGGTAGGGTTCTCTCTTTTGTATGCTGCGATGGCGTCCACCACTGGAGGCGTGGCCACCTTGGGCTTGGAGCCGCCAATCACACCAGCTTTGAAACTTCCAGTCTCATAGTACCTGGGGATACAAAATAGATTGAATCAGGTTTTTGGGTTGTTTAAAAGTCAGCTAATAATAAATATTACTGGTGAGTAAAGACCTCTTCTCTTATAAAGAAGGTATGACCATTTTGTCTATTTTTTTTCACATAGTAATACATTTCACACCTAGACCCGAAACAACAATTGGTGGATCACACAAAGAGTTGCTCCTTGCGGTAATCGCACCCGCGACACGTTGTGTGGCAGCCATTTGCCCAGCTACCCCACCAACCAGCCGTCAACCAAATCATTAACCACCACATTTGCTCAATTCTAAATGTAAAGTACGGCATTTAAAACTTTGTTATTGTAGTGTTTTTATAATAACTACTAGCTTCTGCCCGCGACTTCGTACGCGTAATCCCATTTTTTCCCGTCCGCATTCGTGATTTTCGGTAAAAAGTAAAAAAAAAGTATTGGTTTGAAAGTATCCTATGTCGGTCTCCTGGCTCTAAGCTACCTCCCTACCAATTTTCAGCCAAATCTATTCTGCCGTTCTTGAGTTGTAAGTGGTGTAACTAACACGACTTTCTTTTATATATATAGATTGTGAGACATACTAAATTAAGTAAAATCGAGTGAGATGCGCAACGTCGCCGCGACCGCGCACGCTGCTCATGAGGAAGAACCCCTCTGTGGTTCGAAACTAGTAGAGCTTTTCTCAATATATTCACGTGAGTAACTCGCGAATTTACTTAATTTGTTCTTGTAGTCTTCGTTCCCTGATGTGACAATATGGACAACTGAAGAAAGATTAGGCATGGAAGGCTTGAACTGTTCTCCAAAGCAAATGATTATACAGACCAAAAATTAAGAAGCTACTGACATACACAGTAATTCAGGTTCAATCTACAGTTTTAACTTGAGCAATGAGCATCAATAAGATATAACTATAATTTATCACAAAATAAATTACAAAATAGACTTCCATAATTTCACGTGTACAATATTGGAATATGTATCAGAGCAGTGTAAAACAGACTTTTTTTAAAAGAGTAACGAATGGGGTTTCTTGGGCGTTCTTCTCCACTCGAATCGACATTTTGGAACGAGCGCCTAGCTTCACTGACGGACAGACTGACAGACTATTATTTATTTCATATTTGTTGACGTTTCAAAAGTACCAAATTATGGTTCAATTGAAATAAATGCTTTTGAGTTTGAACGAAAACCAGCACTTTATGAACCAACCCCTGTCAAAAATGACATTAAAAACAGCAACCATAACTGCATATCAATAAAAAATTCAATCAAAAATCGCTAGCAAAGAGCTTTTCACCCCTCATAGGTACTTGTATCCAATTGTCATAATACCGTCCTTTATTTTGTTGAGCGAATTTAATTATCTTCAGCTAATGCCAGGTCCCTAAGGAAAGGGGCGTGATGGTACAATGATGAAGGGATACTTATTATTGTTTGGTATATCGGCGGCAATATGGTGGGATTGTTTGGTCCTTTTGGCGCGAGAATTGGTCCTAACTTGGTCCTTTTGGGCTTTGGGTTTTATTCTACGTTTCTGTTGAGAATTATGGATGCAAGTTGGAATTGGTGTGATTTTATTTGTTGTGAAAAGATTAATAATTCTTTATTAGATTCGTTGGTCCAGAGCATGGTTACGAACATGGAAGACATGGTTATTTATCATTTGTTTTTTGAGTCAACATATATAGAGTTAACATTTTTTGAGTCATTATATTATGCCTGCCTCGTTGGCCGAGTGGTCGCAAGTGCGACCGCCAGGCAAGGCGGTTTCAGGTTCGATATTCGGGTCGTGCAAAGAAAATTGTCAGTAGTAGTACGGAGTCTGGAAATGTGACCGGTATAAAGCAATAAGCATACCCCTATTACGAGGATAAAAGGCGATGATATATAAAGGTGATGTTATGGTATTTCAAATTCAAAGTTAAAGCATTTATTTCATTTTATCTATGCTTTTGTAACGTCAAAATTAAATAATTCTCCGTCAGTCTGCCCCTTAGTGAAGCTAGATATTATAATTTCGAAGCAAAGTTTTCTTTCGACATTGATAAAAAAAGTTATAACCACTAATCAGATGTAAACCGAAAATCAAATTACAAAATACACAGTAACACTAAACCAAAAATTACCATAATCTTACTTGTGTAAAATTCTATTTCCTTATCTTTTTGGGAATCTACAAGAGACAAGATTAGGATTACTTAAAAAAATAAGATTATCAGCACCGCACTTAAGCAATTTATTGTAAGGGTGCTTTCACATTGTGGAGCATTACAATCCTCGTGATAAGTCAATTACGAGTGTGATCACACCCTAAGTGAATGGTACTTGCAAGTACTGTTGGAGAGAAAAGTGAATAAAGAGAATTGGAGATTCTTATTGGTTGGTTTGTTGATTGTGACGTATCTACTTTCTGGACGAAAGGACCAAGATTATGACAGCTAATTTTACGCATTATAGATATATTTTATTTATTTTATCGACCGGGAATAGTTTTATTATTCAACTCCTTCGCTTATTTAAGATTGTACTATAAAATTTAATTGTAGATGTTACATATATGGAATTTATTCAAGTATCTTTAGAGCAATTATTATTTCGTTTCAAAAAGAACGATGGCAAACATGGATTCTTATTTTGAGAATTTTTACGGTAAACGAGCGGTCTAGATGGCTCACCTGATGGTAAGAAATCGTCGTCACCCATTGACACCCGGAACTCCAGAGGCGTTATAAGTGCCTTACCAGCCTTTGAGGATAACTACAATAATTTTTTTTTAATCCTCAAAACTGCACATCAGTTTTAACTAAAACACTTGTGCTCGTGACTGTCCAAGGGTTGCCAAAAACAAGGGTGCTAGTGATCCATGGGGGATCGGTAACATTATCGTAATGCCACCCCTGGGTTGGGGCTGGCAGTGTTGTAGGTAAATTTGACGAAAATAAAACTATACTTAGGAGATTGTGCACTTGGTTTTTATGGGGATGCTTTGTATGTAGTAAAGGGGTTATGGGTTTGATACCTGTTTCGGTAAAATATGTTAAAGTTTTTTAAGGATTCCATATCAAGCTTTACTAGTAGATAGTATTAGATAATGGTCTATGATGAGCGAAATTCACTTTGGTCACCTATGTATCTTTTTATTTTAAGTACAAAAAAACTATACCTACACGTTATAAATCCAATAAAACCTACTGCCAATATATTTCATCTTTATTATTATGAAAAATCGAATTTTCAAACCAACTTTTGATATTGTTAAGCTGTCATTTTAATAAACATATACAACAATACTAACAATAACAATCACAGAAAAAATCCTCATTCAAAATCGAAAAGAAAAAGCACACTACGAACCTACATTTCTGCTCACCCACTCCACACACAACACCATTAGAAACAAATTGAAATCAATATCGTTCGCAATAACCAATTTGTAGCTCACAACGTAGAGACATATTGGCAATCAAGATACTAGGATAGGGTACACCCTAATAGGCTCACACTGACTTATCAAGGCTTATGGTGGCTTATAGGCGCTTATAGGCGCTTATACACGCTTATAGGCGCTTATACACGCTTATAATGCGCCCAATAGATGCGCTCCTAAGCGTGTTATATCATTATCTGATCTGTAAATAATTGCAGATCAAATTTGCGGCTTATCGGCTTTGTTTTAAGTGGTATTTTTGTATGTTATCTTTTGATACGATTTTATTATGATTGAAGAGGTGTTTTGTTATTGATTTTTTGTGGTATTGTGGTGTGAAGGTCGTGTTTGTTGTAAGACTTAGGTACATACATACAAATCTCGTTCTTATTCTTATTTAAACAATAGATGAATTTCGCTTTGCATAGTCTAAACATTTTGGGTTCCAGAATGTTTCAATTGGTAGTCCAGTTTTTTTTAAAATGTTATTTAAAGTAGAAATTTTATGTATTTCTTTCGCAATCTTATTTTAACTCGTATACAATCACCTGATATGAATCCCCAAAATTTGTTCATACAAAAGTAGTCTTTAAACATCGGAAATAAGGTTTATATTGGAGTTAGTGGAGAGCGATCGCCAGTGACCGCTTGGGAATTGATCAGTTAATACCAAAACTGTTTTTTATGAAATTCAATAGGGATATAGATATAGAAAAACTATAGATAAAAGGGATATTGACGGGGCTCCTTACATGCTTAAACCACTGCCTAATATTAAGTTTTCACGTTCAAATAAAAAGAAATTCGTGGTATCCCAAAGTCACGATTCACACAATAATTTATGCATCTCTATTTACCCCTTCGGAGTATAGAAGACATGTTATGTTTTTACACATGTCTGCTGACCCCTTTTTAAACTAGAGCTGCACACAAGAAGAGAATTATGAAAGTGCTATACAGTCCTGTATCTGTTTAATAATTAGTCAGTTTTTACATCGGCCTGCGCCGGCGCAGAAAGCGTGACGCCGCTTCCGTTTGTGAGCGTGCGTTGATTTATTTTATGAAATAATTGTGATTATGTTTGTTTTTAGTTTTAGGTCACTTTGTGTTGGATTTTCTTGCTAAAGATATATAGAATAGGTATATCAAAGATTCTATCATTCAATATTGAAGTTTATAAAAAAGTGTCTAGAGTTCAATGTTCTTTAAAAACAGTGATTTTTTATCTGTGACGTAATAAATTATATTTTGAAAGATAGTTACATACTATGAAGTCTCTGGTAATTACTAAATAACACGAGTTTTTAAATGAATTTGAACAGAAAGACTGATGATGATTAAATGTACTAAAATTATGACATAGAAAGAGAGAAGAAGACAAAAGCATAAAATAATACATTTCAATAATTCATTACACGCACACATACAAACAACACAATACATAATTCTATAACACAGGCCTATGTAATTAGAGACCGGTAATATATATTTTTTCTTAGAAAACATAATATATCAGACGGTGGACGTCTATCATAGTTTCCGCGTAAGTACTTCCCAGAGCTGTAACT